CACCATTTTAATTGTTTTCATTAATTTAATGTCATTCCCATCATCTTCCTCATCATCATTACAATTGATGTCAACAAGCTTTAACAATCATCATCGTCGTCATCGTCATCCATTTAGTTACTTCGGAGTTAATATGGCAGTTAAATTGTTACAACCACCAATATCATCATCCCATAATCATCATCATTATCATCGTCGTCTTCATCATCATCATCATCGCCGTCGTCTTCATCATCATCGTCGTCTTCATTATCATCTTCATCTTCTTCATCATCGTCGTCTTCATCATCACCATCATTATCATCACCATAGCCATCATCATCATCATCATAGCCATCATCATCATCACCTAAATGTTTACTTTACAAATTTATTTATAATACTACGACTCATTTGAACTAACATTATCCTCATAATTATTATCATTACCTTCCAAGTGTTAGCGTAACAGTTAAAGCGTCTTGCCCAACTGCTGCAGTGACGAGGTTCGAAAGCAAAGTTAACCAGAAATTCAGTATGTCGGTGGTCTTAAAAACAAGTACCTTACATTCGTTGTTAAACTTTCTCTTCAAATACTCGACAATAATAATTTTACAGGTGACTTCGTTTTTCTCAACTAATACTACTACTTCTACTACTACTACTACTACTACTATTACTACTACTACTAATACTGCCCCTACAACTAGTGTTGCTGCTGTCATTACCGCTGCTTCTGTTACTACTACTACCACTGCTACTACTACTACTACAACTACTACTATGACTACTACAACAACTACTACAACTGCTGCTGCTACTACAACTACTGCTATTACTACTGATAATAATAACATTTGGGTGCGTGATTTAATGAAATGTGTCAAATGAATGAGTACTGGGTAAGTAATGCGCAGGCGTTGGTTGAATTTGTGAAGGAACTTTTTTGTCCCTTTCCGAAGAAATGATTCCGAATACAATTAAACTCTCCTAACCACCGACTGTGTTTTTTTTTTGTTCAAGTTCTTTAAAATATTTCACGTCTTTTCTACAACAACCACGTGAAAACTTATGCAACAAACGTGTGTGTGTGCGTGTGTTTGTTTGTGTGCGTGTGTGTGTGTGTGTGCATGTGCTGTGTAGCACAATATGCACACACATACGGTGTGAAATAATAATTTTGTCAATACCATCAATACCATTTGTGGTTATAGTTGAACCATGTAACATCTCTAACGATAAACTCATTGTAAATCACACACACACCATACACACGCACACACACATGTTTTACACACGCACACACACATGTTTTACACACGCACACAAATACAGACATTTATTTTCATTGTTGTGTTTGTGAGTGCCAGACATTTTCAATCAAACACAAACCGTTTAGAGTATTCTAAATCGTTACATTTCTATACCAGTTAATAATTCACTACTACGTCAAGAAATCAGCTAAAAGATTTGGTACAGCCCCACAATGAATAATGACATTATTTCTAATGCTACCAGCGAAGATGCTGTTACTTGACCATTAATATTCAAGAGGCGTGCCTATTTGTGAAGCGTAACTGGACCATTGCGATAAATAAGTGGTCAAATAATGGTCAAGCAGTTTTCAGGTAGTGGCCAGGGCGGTTGTCAGACAGTGGTCAGCCAGCCTCGAATATAATATTTTCTCTTCCTGTGGGATTAAGTAGGTAGGCCTTCTATTTAGGATGGATTTGGTGTTTTGGGAATTTTTATTGTATATGACCCGTGTCTGGAAGAAAGATCAATAAGTAGAAGTAGAAAAAAAAACAAGAATTAAAAACAAAACGGCCGAGGAGCGATTAAAAAAAAAGTGACGGGACGGAAGCAGTGATGTGCTTGCTTTCTTGTGATTGGCTGACCATCAATCATGTAACAATTCATTAGAGAGACTGTGCTTCTTCGGTGAGGGTTGTTTGTGCATTTCTTACTTTCCTTGTACAACAACGTCTATTTCTACTACTACTACTGCTGCTACTACTACTAATACTACTACTACTACTACTACTACCCTACCTACTATAACTACAACTACTGCTGCTGCTACTTCTAGTAGTAGTAGTACTTGATGAAACAATACATATAGTCGCACACACACACACACACACACACACACACACACACACACACACACACACACGTACACATACAGACAGACAGACTTAAACAAAACTGCTTTACACAATATTTGGCATTGGAGCATGAAGATTGTGTGCTGTTATTGGCCGGCGTGGCTTAACCATATTTTCACCAATATTCTTTTTGGATTAAAAATTTCTAAAATAGAGAGAAAGAAAGAGAGAGAAAGAGAGAGAGAGAGAGAAAGAGAGAAGAAACAAGAAATAGAGAGATAAAAGATAGACTACAAGATGAAAGAATGAAATTATAGTGGATAAAATATAACGGAGCGAGTGAAAATCATGACAAATAGTTTAAATTGAATGTTAGGACGATTCATAATAACAACCGATAAACGAATGAATGAAAATAATAATAATAATTTAAATTCAACGCGTTGTGCCATCAATCAATTAACTGAGGTCATCATTATGTAAAGTATAATCATATCTGCCTGTGTGCATATGTGTGCGTGTGTGTGTGTGTGTGAGTGTGTCCGTATTTGTCATGTTTAAACATTACTTACAGAAAAAACGGTCAGGTTTTATCTTGATGTGTTTGTTCAATATATTTTGATTATGATTATATATAGTGAACATTTAAGATGAACAGATGAACACAATAAGTGAACAAACAGCATAAACTTATAACATGAAAATATAATGTGAACATGAAAGATGAACATATGTACAAAAAACTAGCTTAGGTGAACGTATGGTGAACATATAAGATAAACTTATATGATGAACATGTAGGTTAAATACGTAAAATAAACATGTAAAATGAAAACATGTGAGATGAACACAAGGTGAACCAACAAGGTGAACGACCAACCTATTCTGAAAAATTTTTCAATTACTCAGAAGCTGATAAAATGTGAAAAAAGTCCAACGGGATGGATCGTATATGTTGTAGGTAGGATGTTGACCAGGAGCGGAGGTCAGCAAGTTTGGCGATTGTATGGAATTTTTTATGTTAATTGTGTGTTGTACTACACTTTGTATGGTGTGTTGTTTGCTGCATGTTATTTGTATGTGACTTGTATGTTTTTATTATGTTTTTCGTTTGTTTTTTTATGTTTTAAGTATTTTTTCAGTAAGTTGTTTGTAAGTAATTGTGTTTTGCTCACTATCTTAATTATATTTTACATATAAACTCAATAGTATGTTTATATTTCGTTTATATGGTTAAATATAAGTTTAATATGGCTTAATATGCGTTGTTAAGTTTTGTTTTAATGTTATTCACCTCTGTTTATGAAGCAATGAGAAGTTTGCTTCGTGAGATTGAAGGAATGCATGCAAGTATTCATGACGAGATGATCCGGATTATATAGTAATATCAATGATCTTGTGCTAATTAAAATGAACGACAAAATGGTAAACATAAGCAAGCAGGCAGGCAAACAAACAAACGAACGAACGAACAAACAAACCACAAAAGAACAGACAAACAATTAAACAAACGAACGAAAAAACAAACCACAAAAAACAAACGAACAAATAAACGAACGAACGAAAAAACAAACCAAAAAAGAACAGACAAACAATTAAACGAACATACAAACCACAAAAGAACAAACAAACAAATAAACGAACAAACAAACCACAAACAAACAAATAAACGAACGAACGAAAAAACAAACCACAAAAGAACAAACAAACAAATAAACGAACGAACGAACAAATATAATGGTTCGCATCAGAGTTTGTATTTTATTTCATTTTTTTTTCTCAGAAATTCTTTTCTCACTAAAATTTCCCGATGTACATCGCTTGAACGCTCTCGCGAAAGAAATATGAAATGAAGAAAATCCACTAACGATGATGACGATGATGAAGATGGATAATGAGGTGATGATGTAATGATGATGCAATAATGAGGTGATGATGTAATGATGATGCAATAATGAGGTGATGATGTAATGATGATGATGATGATGAAGCATGACTAAGACAAAAGGACAGTAGTGATGATGTAATGATGATGTAATAATGAGGTGATGATGACAATGATGATGATGATGACGACGGCAACGATGATGATCACGACGGACATTAAAGATGACGATGCAAATGAAGGAACACTCACTCACTCACTCACTTGCTCGCTCGCTCGCTCGCTCACTCACTCACTCACTTACTCACTCACTCACTCGCTCACTCACTCACTCACTTGCTCGCTCACTCACTCACTCACACTCGATCTTCCGATCGTAAATATCAGATGAACCTCAGCGGATTAATATAGGATTTCAACTTTTCAAGCCAATAAATAAAAATGTTACAATACGGATACACACACACGCACACAAACACACACATATATAATTAACATAATTATAGAAAATAATACTAATACTATTACCACCACTACCATAACCAAAAATACTTCTATTATTATAATTACAGGGTCGAATTTTTTTTGGGGGGGTGCAGGAGGGGTTACTACCTCGGGGCCTTCTAAAAAAAGGGCCCCTACAATGAAGAAAAATTATAAAAATTTTACTTTAGTTGCTGTGTTGTCCACAGAAACATTGCCACGCTGTTAAGTAACATTCGGCCTTCTGTGAGATCGTACGTAAAAATTACAACGAACCATTTTATTTCCAACTTTTAACCGATTTGTTAAAATTGCTAAAAAACACTTCTTCGGTAGAAAAAGCTTTGGAGTAGTGCGTGTATGAGCTAAAAGAGAATACAAGCTAATCAACTTTTTGTAAAGATTTGACAACAAATATTTGTTGAAAATAATTTCACTTTATTAAATTACTTCATCTCGTTCCGTTTCGTTTCGATTCGTTAATAACGATACTTTTTAATAAACTGTTATTATTATTATTATTATTACTATAGTAATAGATAAATTAACAGCTACTACTACTACTACTACTATTATTACTACTACCACTACTACTACTATTACTACTACTACTACTAATAATAATAATAAAAACAGTTTATTAAAAAGTATCGTTATTAACGAATCCAAATGAAACGGAACGAGATAAAGTAAGAAAATCGATACGAAATATAGTAGGTGCAAGCTGTAAAAAGCTCACTATCGTTGCGTGTGAATTGAAAGTGAATGAAGACGACGACGTCGTAATTATTTCTAGTTTTATTTAAAACAATTTTTAGGTTATTTAAAATTAATATTTTTGTTATTTGTAATAAATAAATAAATGAATAACTAAATAAATAAATGATTAATTTCTCCTTAAGTCATTTTAACGTAAAAATATCAAACGCCATAGTCTAAAACTTCACATTTCAATTTTTCTAACAACGATTTTATGATAATTTTTTTGAATTTGTTGATGAAATTCTCTCTCTACTATTACTAGAAGTTGTACTAGCATCAAATCATTCGCAACACCAGACTCAATGTTATAATTAGTTGCACACGTTCAAACACATGGTTCTACAGCAGGGGTGGGCAAACTACGGCATATTTCAGCGGCTAGCAAGGCCTTGTTCGCCAAAAATAATGTCGTTTGCCAGACATTATGACCAAAAAAAGGAGTCACAAATCTTAGAAAACAAATCTTGAAAACTTTTTTTTTTAATTTGCTATTTAAGTACATATGCGGCCCTTCAAAGGTGCAGCCCTTCAAAGGTGCGGCCCTTCAAAGGTAAAATAGTTCTCAATGCGGCCCTCACAGCAAAAAAGTTTGCCAACCCCTGGTCTACAGAAATGGTTTCGGTTTTGTCAATTTCTGCCCAGGTATCAGAACGCGGTAGCAATAGGTGAAAAAACGTCAAAGTTGATCATTAGAGATTAACGCTTAAAATGCAAAAAATACATTTTCCATCATTTCTTACAGAATTTTATACAACTCTCTTTTGCTTGCATCTGCCTTTGAGAAAGAAAAAAGTGAAATGAAAGCATTAGAGAAAGAAAAAGAGGAAATGAAGAGTTGAAGAAACGGAGAGAGAAAGATAAGAAAAGAGAGAAAGAGAGAGAGAAAACTGAAAATTGTTTCAGTGAAAGCAGCCCGCTACCGGCAGCGAGTTGTTGTAATAGCTACAGGTTCCTGGTCCAGCCTGGCTTCAATTGCAAAGATATCTCCACTTATCATAAAAAATTTTTGACGCTGTAATTCACGCAACTTTACATCCGCGGTGCGTTTGGAGTTTGAGTGAGTGAGTGAGTGAGTGAGTGAGTGAGTGAGCGAGTGAGTGAGCGAGCGAGTGAGTGAGTGAGTGAGCGAGTGAGTGAGCGAGCGAGTGAGTGAGCGAGTGAGTGAGTGAGTGAGTGAGTGAGTGAGTGAGTGAGTGAGTGAGTGAGTGAGTGAGTGAGTGAGTGAGTGAGTGAGTACTATATGAAGTGAGTACTATAAAAAGAAATAGCAATCAGTGTTACTAAACAAACACACGGTCTGGTTCAGCGTAAAATCTATCTATCTTTCGATAATCTTCAAAATAAACAGCCTTTTTACGGCATTTCAACAGTAAAATGTATTTATTAGCAGCATTTTACAACTAAGATAGGAACATAAAATAACAGTAAACTAACGCAGCTTCTCCAAAAAAACAACAAATGCAAAAACAACGTTACTTACTACGTTACTACACTCACAACAACAACAACAAAAACAACAGCAACAACAACAACAACAATACTGCTAACCACAACAACAATCAAAGCAGCATCACCCTCAATTACTCAATTACAACATATCCACCAACTATTTAAAAAAAACAACAAACACCACAACAACATCAACACACTAACAAAAACGAGAATAACAAATCAACTACGTGATGACGACCATAATAGAAACAAAATTGAAAACAAAAACAACGCAACAACACAACAAACAATAACAAACAACAACAACAAACAATAACAAACAACAACAACAACATAACTAACAATTCAAAGACCATATAGAAAACTCCATTGTTACTATACGTTTCAAAGAGTTCCAGGATATATGGATGCTTCAGACTGTGACATATGCTTGCCTCTCTCTTCAGATCTGCAACAATTATGTATGTTTGTTTGTATGTTTGTTTGTATATATGTATGTAATGTCTATCCAGTGTTTTTCTGGATGGATACCAAACATTGTTATACATAAACCATGAACCATCGTACTAACAACTAACACCTGTTTTGCTAACAGAGTTGAGTCTGTTAATTTACTAACAACTAACATCTAACATGCCTCTCATAGATCATTTAGGGAAAATTTTTATTATTTGCTGAAAATTTGTGTGAACTTGGGACATTTCTGTTTAGGTGGCCATACTAGATGAATTTTATATAAATTCTATTATGGTCATCCTGCTTTCTTTTAATTTTGAGAAGCAAATAAAATTTCGTTTCGTATGTGTATATATATATATATACATATATATATATATTTACATATATACATACATACATACATACATACATACATACATACATACATACATACATACATACATACATACATACATACATACATACATACATACATACATACATACATACATACATACATACATACATACATACATACATACATACATACATACATACATACATACATACATACATACATACATACATACATACATACATACATACATACATACATACATACATACATACATACATACATACATACATACATACATACATACATCCATACATACATACATACATACATACATACATACATACATACATACATACATACATACATACATACATACATACATACATACATACATACATACATACATACATACATACATACATACATACATACATACATACATACATACATACATACATACATACATACATACATACATCATTCTTGCTATTTTGTTGTTAATATTAGTTATAATTTTATAGCGTTTGTGAAAACTGCTATAACGAACGCTATATTAAGTTTTTTATTAATAATAATAATAATAATACATACATACGTACATATTTGCCGCGGCCAGGGCAGCGGACGAGAAAATGAAAAAAATATGGGAACGCCCTCCCCTCGATGGAATTCTTGCCAATATGTATCGAGGTTCTCGGCCCGATGGACCCCAACACCCTTAAATTTCTTAAGGCAATATGTAAAATGATCAGCGTCAGATCAGGCGACAGCAGGGAACTGTTTTTCGCAACTAACCACATTTCGTGCTTGTTGCAGCGGTTCCTGCGTGTCTGTGTGCTTGAAAATATCCAACTGAATGCCAACATGTGCAATTAACGACAAATCAAAGTGTTAATCCATTTGTTACTTGATGTTTGACGGTTCAGTGTCACTCATCATGTTTTGGTTTTAACATACATACATACATACATATATGTATTTATGTATGTATTTATGTATGTATGTATTTGTTTATTTATGTAGTATTAATCGACGTATGTGTGTGTTGTTCATTTATGTATGTATATGTATGTTCGTATATACGTGTACTGTATGTATATATGTGTGTATATGAGTTTATATGTACGTATATATGTACGTATGTATGCATGTTTGCGTATGTATGTGTGTATATATGTGTGTTTATTGGTTTGTACGCTTGTGAGATTTTGAGCAATAGAAGATAAATACGATTCAGTAAGCTAACCATTTATATTATTTTGTTTTTTTCTCTACTAATCCACAGTCAGCATTCAGTGTGTTTTTATGGATGTATGTGTGTGTGTATGTGTGTGTGTGGTTTTTGTTTACATCTGTGTGATTGGTTGGCTGGTTGGTATGTTTAGTTGGTTGGTTGGATGGTTGGTTGGATGTTTGGTTGGTTGATTGGTTTGTAGGTTGATTGGATGGTTGGTTGGTTGATAAGTTGGTTGGTTAGTTGGTTGGTAGACAGACATGTGCGATGTTATCATGTTGAGAATGATGCAATAATCTTTATTGGATTGTATTCTTGTAGCAATAAATGCCATTCCAAAATCACTATGCTGTCATTCATGTTTTGGGTTGTTGTTGTGTTGCTGTTGTTGTTTGTGTTGTTGTGTTGCTGTTGTTGCGTTGCTGTTGTTGCGTTGCTGTTGTTGTTTGTGTTGTTGTCGTTGAGGTTTTGTGGGTTTTTTTAAATTTTGTTTTTGCTAAATCCATTGCGATTATTTTGAAACTTTTGTTGAATATTCAAAAATTATAGTGCTTATCTTTATGCTGTTAACCTTCGTTCACTATACTCACGGTAATGTGGTTTGTTCATTTGTTATGAAAACTAACAAACAGGAAACACGTTTAAATGCAAGAATGACGTCAGCAGCAGTTGCACTCATTAATAATAACAATAATAATAATAACAACAATAACAAATTAGACCACAACATGGACAACAACATAGATAACAACATAATAGTTGGCAACAACAACATAGACGGCAACATAGACGGAAACATAATAGTCTGCAACAACAACATAGACGGCAACATAATAGTCTGCAACAACAACATAGACGGCAACATAGACGGAAACATAGTCGGCAACAACAACATAGACAGAAACCACACATCATCAACAACAGCAAAACCAATGGCGACGGCTTTTTCACAGCTGCGTCGAAAAAATGTGCTGATAAAAATAGTATGTATGTATGTGTGTGTGTGTGTGTGTGTGTGTGTGTGTGTGTGTGTGTGTGTGTGTGTGTGTGTGTGTGTACGTATGTATGTTTATGTATGTATGTATGTATGTATTATTATTATTATTATTATCATTAAAATTTATGAAGCGCTTATTAAAAATAATAGTGTTAATTTTTCAAAAGCGCTATCCTATAATTAACAGAAATAGCTGAAAAAGTAGATAAAATAAACCACAAATAAATCAGTTCACAGTTATTGGTTAAATAAATAAGTCTTCAAATTCTTCCTAAAGTTTTCAATCCCTGAATCGCACACCCTCAACGACCGTGGCAAACCATTCTATACAACCGCCCCCGACACTGCAATATTTCTTGCTCCTATCTGCAAACGAAAAACAGGCACAACCATCAAATTATCATCATCAAATCTTAGACTTGTGCCAATACGCAAATTTGATCTCTTTTTATTGAACTTGCATGTCAAATATTCTGGCGTAAATCCATTTAAAACCTTGTACATTACCATACAGATTTTATATATTATCCTTTTATTGACAGTTAGCCAATGTAGGTTCCTCAAAATTGACGTAACGCGATCAAATTTAGCACCACCTGCAACAATTTTAGCAGCTCTATTCTGGATGGACTGAAGCATCACAATCGATCTGTTCGGTAAACCATAAAACAAGCTATTGCAATAGTCCAAACGTGAATGGACGAACGCGTGCATTAATGACTGTAATGTTGATTTGTTCAATGATTTTTTAACTCGATTCAATCTTTGCAGTTGGAATGAACATGTCTTCACAATTGTTTTTATATGATCATTCAGTTAGTTTGGTGTCAAAAATACACCCCAAATTTGTAGCCCTATGGCAAAACTGAACATTTTCATTTTGTATTATAACTGAATTAATACCAACCCTTGATAACTGCTGCCAGGTGCCTATAGGAAGAAACTGGGACTTGCACTGATTTAACTTCAGATAATTACACGACATCCAAACATCCAATTTATTCAAACATTCGGTAAGCTTGTTAATTTCAAAATGGAAGGTATCAGGTTTACTACCTAAAATTATCTGAATGTCATCTGCGAAAGCATGATATTTAAAACCAAATGACTCGATAACTCCATAAAGATCAGCTGTATATAATAAGAACAAAATAGGTCCAAGCACAGAACCCTGTGGTACACCGGAGGAGACCAGTTTTATATTTGACAAATTATTTTTATAAGAGACTTGTTCTGTTCTTCCAGAAAGATAAGATTTAAACCAATCAATCACCGTGCCCGAAATCCCAAAATCGTTGTTCATTCTCTCCAACAGAATACCATGATCTACACAATCAAATGCTGCAGACATATCCAAAAACGTCAACAGAGAAACATTTTGCTCATCAATAGCAGCATATATTTCTGATAAAACATATAACAAAGCAGTTTCCGTAGAATGGTAACGTCTATATCCAGACTGGTAGAGAGGAATCAATTTATATTTATCTAAGAGTTTTAACAAACTTTTTGCTACGACGCGTTCGATGACTTTCGACACAAAACACAAGTTTGAAACTGGTCGGTAATTCCTTAGATCACTCCTATCTGCATTATTTTTTTTCAAAATTGGGAGAACAATTGCATGCTTACAACGAGCAGGAAACGCACTAGTTGTCAAGCTTAAATTGACAAAACTTGTCAAAAAAGTAAATAAATCTAAATACTTCTTAAGAACATAAGTAGGAATCAAATCCAATAGACACGTCTTTGATGGTAAATTAAATATAATCTTTTTTAATTCCGTTTCAGTTACAGGTGAAAAAAATGAAAACAATTCATCACTGTTTAATTTACTTTCATCAAAAGCTGGTTGATTTGCAACGTTCGTAGTTTGTCTAACTCTATCAATTTTCTCGAAAAAAATTTAAAAATTGATCAGAGCTATTATCTGGCGCTTCTTGAATTGAAATCGAATTGTTATTGCATAATACTCTGTTGACAATGCTCCATAGATTTTTAGGACTATTTTTATTATCATTGATTAATTTTTTCCAATAAGAATTTCGCTTTTTTGAAAAAAGCTTAGTTTTATGCTTCAAAGCTGTGACCCAATCACCACGACGCTCAGGCAGCAAACAGTTTCTATATTTTCTTTCTCTTCATTGACAATCTGCTCTTGCAATGTAACATTCCTTATCAAACCAAGGACAGATTAGATCACACCTAATTTTAACATAACGAAGTGGTGCGATTATATTAACTATCTTCGTCAAATCATTAAAAATATTAAATTCACAATCAATGTTGTCGCTTTGACACGGTTTAGATAAAGGAGATTTTTCCACAAGCGTTGCTAAGTCATCACCATTCATATACTTCCAAGATCTGACTAATTTTATCTTTGTCTTGTTACATAATTGTTTTATTGGTATTTGAACCAAAACCAAACCATGATCAGAGTGACACCACTTGGTAAAACTCTACAATCTGTAGCCTGGAAATCACTAGAACTGGCAATTAAATCGAGTGTACCACCAAGATCATGAGTCGGTTTATTTACATGATTTGTTAATTGAAACATTTCAAAAACTTCGAGTAAACGAATGGTATTCTGATCATTAGCTCTTTCAAGATGAACATTAAAATCACCCGCTAGCAAAACATTTGAACTTAGAACAGAAATATTTTCTAATACATTTACAAGTTCTTCAAAAAACAAAGCACTAACCAATGCCGAGCCAGGTCTGTATACCCGCCAACAAAACAAAATCTGTTTTATTTATTATGAATCTAAGAGCAATAGCTTCAAACGTAGTCAGTAGTGGTAAACTAACTTCTTTGCATCCAAAACGAGATCTATGAAATACAATCAAACCACCATGATGTGGGGTCTCAAATAATCCACAAAATTAAAGCCCGATGGCATTGACAATTTAACTGAAATATTATCTGACGCCCCATGCCAAGTTTCAACCAACACAAAAATATCCAGCCCATCCAAAATCAATTCATGAACAATATCAAATTTTGAAACAATTGATCTGATATTTAATAAACCAACATTTATTAAATTTACTTTATCTCCGGATGAAATGTTACAATCCTCCACCTTCCCACTGGCCCCACTACTCTGTATAAAAAACCCGACTTATCAGCTGCTTCATCCACTTTTGCCTTGTCAACCAGAGCCCTGTGCTCCTTCCTTTGGTCAATAGTCAAATCATGGCTAAGACCAATGTGTTTAAACTCTTCAGACAACGACCTCATTCTGGAGACGTTCCGCATGATGTTATTTTTGACATTCAAATTATCAAATTTTACCAATATCGGTCGAACAGCACCATCTTTCTTTTTTCCGAGTCTCATAACTTTGACAATGTCTTTTTCAGATATCTCGTCCAATAGATGTTTTAATATTTTCTTAATATTAGAACGGTCGCTATTACCCTCATCCAGGCGGAAGAAAACTAAATTCAATTCTCTCTCTTTAAGTATAGTTGCATCATTTAACGTTTTATGTACAGCCTTTACTCCATCATTAATGACATCAACACGGTCTTTGACTTCACGTCTAACAATGTCGGCAAATGTGGTACCCATCTCATTGTTGACTACATTGACATTGGTTTTAACTTCTCGCTTAACAATGTCAGCGAACGTATTACCCATTTCATTTTTCAAGTTTGTTATTTCATTACGAACTGACGATTCACTATTATCAAGTCGAAACAATGTACGTTCATTTAACATAAGACTTGCTTTAATATTATTCATTTCTTGTTGGAGTTCATCATTAAATTTATCCAACTTTGACAGAATCTGAGCACTACCAGCCTCAAGATCATTGAACATTTTCTTGAATTCAAAACCTTTTAGTTCGGTTGACGATTCAACACAGTCGTCACAGAACCATTTTAAATTGTTATACGCTTCAACTATCTCGCATATAGGTTCGGTCAAAAGTGTACATTCCAAATGAAAAATACTATTACATCGATAACAGCATACACGTTTTTTATTCACCTTTAATTCTTTCAAACACTTTCTGCATGTACATTTCTCACCTTTAGCTGCAGACATGCCGGCGCACACAAATTATAATGAGCAATCACGTGACTCCAAATTAAAAAAAAACTTATTCTATAATTATGATTAAACTTTATAAATAACTAAAATTATAATATTATTTAAACTAATTTATATTAAACTAAATTTACTTAATCGATTATTATAAAATACAACAGAAATTTATCGAAATTAACGAATAAAATTGAGATTTACTAGCAGCGAAAAATATCCAACCGTTACAGCCAACTAACTAAGTGTGTATATATGTTTCTTCATTAAAAAAAAAACTTATTTTGTTGATTCTGACAAGTCATGAATTCTTCCCACAGTTTAAAAAAAGCCTGATACTCCAGAGATTTCTAACACATTGCGTGTGTTATCATGAAATGAGATGGGAGTTTTGTTGGTGAAAAGCGACTCGACAATAACAGTTTATCGCATCTGTTTTTATATTGTAACTTTTGTTGATTACAGAAAAATTATTGTGGTTATTTTTATGTTGCTAAACAAGACGACTATACAATAACAGTTTTTAATGTCATTTTGTTTGGAGTGATTTGCAGGGATTTTAGCGTCGACCCGGTTTGTCTTTCAAGAAGTTCAAGAAATAGTTGAAGACAAACTTATCCGATAATTACAATTCTTTTTCGTTACTTTACTTTATTCTTTAGTTATGAGAACTTTAGAGATTACATTTTAAAAATCGCTATATAAGTGTCATTATTATTATTATTATTTTATTATTATTTTATTATTATTTTATTATTGTTATTATACAAAATACACACATGTAAATTTTCAATTAACATCTTTAAGTAAAATATAAATTAAATAATAATATCCGCGCCTTTGAGATGCATTAAAGGGCGCTATATAAATTCTCTAATAATAATAATAATAATAATAATAATAAACTTATTTATTTATTAAAATTTTTGAAGACAAAACATATTTTGAATTTTCTTCATTATAAAAAAACTTATTTTGCCGTCTCTGTTGCCGTCTATGTTGCCGTTGCGGTCTAAGTTGCCGTTTATGCTGCTGTTGCTGTTTATGTTGCTGTTTTAATTTTCTAATTAAACCCACTACTGTATCTGCGGTCATCATCAACAACGTTAAAAAATAAATGCCTTCATCAAATATTAATATTTACATTACGTCAAATGTTGCTTGGAATTACGTCATAAGAATAGGAAGGCGTTTATTGGCGAAAGGCGGGTTTTTTGGTGACGGCATATCTGATGAAATTAAAATTTTTGAAAAGTTTCCTTTAATAATAATAGTTATAATTATAATGATGATGATGAAGAAGTTGAAGAAAAAGATGACGATGATGAAGATGATGATGATGATGATGAAGTAAAAGAAGAAGAAAAAGAGGATGATGACGAAAACGACGATGAAGAAGAAGAAGATGACGACGACGATGATGATGGTAGAGTTTAATGTAAAAACGAAACCTTGAAAATGAGTGAGAGTTAGGGGAGCTGATGTTGAGTAATAATCAGACGGATTTTGTCATGCCGGCGATGATGATAATGATGCTGCTGCTGATGGTGATGACGATGATGATGATAATGATGATAAAGGAGATTATATTTATCAAGATGATGATGAAATCGATAATAATAGTAATAATAACAATAATAATATTAACAACAACAACAATAATAATAATGTTGATGATGAAAATGATGATGATGAAGAAGAAAAGGAAGATGAGAAGGAAGATCACATTAAGATAAATGACAACAATGAAGATGGCAGTGATGTAATGATGACGTCGGTTGATGATGATGGAAAATAGAAGCATGCCAAATGCTTGCTGTTTCCTGGGCAGCAATGATGATGATGACGATGATGATAATGATAATGATGACGACGTTGATAATAAACAACAAAATTTTTTTTCAGAAATGGGCAAAATAAATGTGCTGTAAAATGTATATATATATATATACATATATATGTATGTATATATATGTATGTATATATATATATATATATTCAATATATATATATATATATATATATATGTGTGTGTGTGGTGGTGTTGTGTGTGTGTGTGTGTGTGTGTGTGTGTGTGTGTATACACAAAAATTTCACAATTTCCGGTAAAGCGATTCCAGTGCCGCAATCCAATTCAGTAAATAGTTTGGGCAAATGGTATTATGCTAGTCCGAAAGACGTTGATGAAATAGGAAAATTAGAAAATACTTGCTCAAAATACATGGAAGTTGTCAGCAAAGTGGAACTTCAAGGTAAATTCAAAGTATGGTTGATTCAGTTTGTGGTGGTACCAAAGCTTCTATGGCCTCTAACAGTTTATGAAGTCAACTTACCCATACGAGAGAGCCTTGAAAGAAAAATCAACCGGTACACACTTGATTGGTTGGGACTTCCTGCAGGTCTGACGTCGTTAGCGTTATACAGTGGAAGAACGCTACTGACACTCCTTCTGAAACTTCTGGTGGAAAAATTCAAGGTTGCAAAAATTAGGTGTCAATGGATGTTGAACAATTCAGCTGACGAGTGTGTGAAAAAAGTGAAGCCATCGTTAAAAACAGGGGAAAAATGGAACGCAGAGAGAGAAATAAAATTCGCGGAGGAGGCGTTAAAGTTTAAGGAGATTGTGGGAGACGTTCAAAGTACAGAACATGAAGTGGGCTGGTTTTCAAATACGTGGTGGTCGAAGGCATCGACTGAACTGAGGGGACAGATGATTGTAAACAAAAAAAGGAAAGAATACGACATGGAACGAGTGGTGACAGCCGTTCAACAAAATCAACATGGCAGTTGGACAACAGCTTTTTGAAGGATTTAGGTTTGACAGATAAAAGACGATCGAGTTGTATGAAGAACATAGGCCATACAGCTGAACAAGCGTCTTACTGGATATGGTTATATAAGAAGAAAAAAGAATGCGAGTTTAAATAATTACCAGACGAGCTTGTGAGCACGTAAGGCTTCCGATTCGGCTTAGCGTGTTACTTGGCTCGTAGATATAACTCACATCGTGATATGTTTAATGCGAACCGTCTGGCACGAATTTTTCAGTATAAAAGAAGTTGATTTCAAAGTGAGTCAAAGCTTTTGTTCAGCAAGAGACATCCAACTATCCTCTGGATGTGGCCCTGTTTCTCGAGAGTGTCAGGAAGTTAAAGGGCCGAAACACTCGTTGACGGAAACCCTTCCTATGAAGACTCTCGCTGAACGCTCGTTATGTTCTAGTTTCTACATACAAATGTTGTATTTTTACATATGGTGTGTGTGTTGTGGAAGGAACAGAGAAAGAGAGAGAGAGAGGGAAAGAGAGAGGGAGAAAAAATTAAGAGAGAAGAGAGAGAGAAAAAGAGCGAAAGGAAGAGAGAGTGTGTTGAAAATTATAGTGCAGGAAGAAGAATCAATTTAGCGAGTTGTTTTGTTTACGAACTCAACTTTCGACGGACAAAAATGAATTTTAATTTTAAAACTGAAAATGTAAAAAATTTTGTAAAGGTTTGAAAAACTTTTTGCTTTAATGGAAACATACATTTGCATGATGAAGATATAACATGGTTTCGACAAAAATAAGGAAAACTGTTTACGTGTGTGTGTGTGTGTGTGTGTGTGTGTGTGTGTGTGTGTGTTGGTATGACCCTTTTTTGTTTAAAGTTTATATTTATGTTCATGTTTGAAATGAAAAGGTTTGAAATGGATATATGGAATGAAATATTCATTCACCTAATATTCATCATTGTTTATGTGTGTATGTGTGGGTGTGTATGTGTGTATATGTTGTGTGTGTATGTATAAAAGTATGTATGCGTGTGTGTATGTATGTGTTAGCGTATGTATGGGTTTGTATATATGTGTATTATGCATGTATGTATGTATGTATGTGCCAAAATTTACTCAGTTTGTTTCAACAGAAACCTTTTATTTCGCATATATATCAACCATTAAA